TGAAGGCAACCAAATGCATCCAGAATGCATCCTGAGATCCGATCACTCAAAATGTCTTCATAGCAGCGTGCATTTATTCTTTCAGTACATCCTGACTCTGCTCACTTGCTTTTTACATTCTCTCTATCTCTCTCTTGCTCCTGCCGACACACACACACACACACACACANACACACACACACACACACACACACACACATAAACTTTGTCATTGAACACATTTGTACGCTCAAACTGGCTAAAAACAACATAATTTCATCTTTACGAACAGAAATTATACGTATGACACATTCAGGATGCATTTAAATGCTGGTGAAATGATGTACTTAGTAAAATGAACTAGTAAAATCTCTCAGGAGGGATTTTAATACCAGGTCTGAACAGGGCGTCAGATGCCACAGGTATACCAGAAAAAAGGTAGGTAGCAGGCTCTAATCCAATTTTTTCCAGATTCATGGTTCTTTTTTTCATGGATATTCTGCAAGACATCAAGAAGCTGGGACTATAACCCTAAAACTTTTGTGTATTCATTACTTTACTTTACTTTACTTACTAAGATACTTACATTTCTTTTTTAAATGTTTAAAACTATCTACAAGTTCAGTTTTGAAGGTTAGGATGTGGAATGTATTAAGTTGTGCATTATGCAGCAGAGCCTCTGTGCCCCATCTCAAATCAATATGAGGTTAATTAAAAGGGCACACCAAGCTCAGCATTGCTGAATGTTCTTATGTTATTTCCTCTCACTGTCTTAATTACCTGAGGGAAAAACAAGCAACTCTTCTGTAAGCCACGTAACCAGAAAGCTGTTGTTCTGCCCCAGGTAAGGTAACACAAAGGACTCAGTGTTTGACATCTGACCAGGCGAGGCAACACCGCCTCCTTGCCCTATCTTTAGACTTCTTCTCCACAGTGAATGAGCGAGCAGTTGGCAGATATGTCCACTTCCCACCACCGGCCCCCTAAAAAAACAGTGGCCTACGTCCAGATAAACAATGCAACACAGTGCCAACAAACAGGCCAAGCACAGTGGTGTTGGATGACTTGTCTTTGTTTGGTGTGAAAGGCTTATGCTGCAGTTTCACAGCACACAGACAAAAGGCGGAGAGCAAGAAATGGTATATAATTGAACGTGCCGGTGTGCTTGTACACTTTGAGTGTCTGCTTGTTGATACCTCCATGCAAGGCCCAGTGAGAGGAACAACAAAAGCTCCATGCCTACTCTTTGTAATCTGGTTTGCACTAATTTAAAGGAGACATATAATGCCTTTTCAGTTTCTCTTTCCTCTAGTTTGTTATACAGCTTTTTTGTGTATGTTAAAGTTTTGTAACGTAAAAATCCCTAAAGTCAAGGGAGCTCGTCTCCACCGCAGAAATCATTAATCCTGAAGTTCCTGAAAGGCCTCATCAATACTTCCGCTTGAGTCCAGGACAACCATTACAAAGCAGGGTAAGGTGAGAGCAGAGGCTGATATATCCTAATCATGCTGGATGTGGTGAACCAATCACAACAGAGAGGGTGAGCTGGCCAACATTAACATATGGAAACCTTTTCAAGTAATAACTTAAAACCTAATAAAACCTAAATATGAGCTGAATGTGTTTTGAGATATGTTCTACTAGAACTCCATCCCCATCTGACATCATACAGGCCTCAAGGTGGTGACCAAAAGGCTCTGCTGTGAATACACAGATTCAAAATATAGCTAAAGACCTTCACTATTTCTGGCATTCATTTATTTTAGGGGAAATGAGGGGAGAGAGATTAGAGATGACGTGCAACAAAAGTTTTTGGACAAACTTGAATGAGGGACATTAATGTTACATGGTTAGCACAAAGGCCACCTGTTTTTGCCATTGCTAAATTATGGTTTGGGTTGTGCTCCATCAGAACTATATGGGCTTCAAAAGTCAGGGACAACTTTCATAAACGATGTTGTCTGAACACATTGGATATAAGTGTTTATATTTGTTTTGAACGCTCACAAGATAAAGAAATGGGAGATAAAATAGAGAGGGAGGTGCAAAAATGGGATTAAAGACTAATGGACTTTTTAGATAATCTCCCCGAGAAGACGTTTGTTGCACTTGGCTATTCATATGAAAATGACAATCACTGAAAGTGACAGAAATAGCTGTGTAAAGAATGAAAAATTAAAGTCAAACCCTGATCCTCTTCACAGGTCAATCATAGCGAGCCACTGGGGTTAAAAATCCAGGTTAAAATTTGCAAGCAGGGAGTATCTCAGGCATTTGAGAACCCTGCGTTCATCTGCACCATGTCATTCTACAGACCTAAATTAATGTGTTAAATTGAATTGTGATAAATCAAAATCTGAAGGAAGGTGATGTTCTGGGGAAAACTGTTAATACTAGAAAAACTAGGTGTCTGTGGCAACATTCCCAGAAAAAAAAGTTGCTGCTAATGTAATGTCAATAAACAGATATCTGTGAACACAACTGAAGATATGTCCCTAACATCCGCTGTTGGTCACTAACATCCGATAACATCAACTGGTTATAGGCATTAATTAGTGCAGTAGAACATAAAAGGGATATTTTTTACTTGTGCATTACAAGGCCAAAGTACTTGATGACGTTAAGGTGCACAACTGAAGTTATGTCACTAACATCCACTTGTGGCTGCTAACACCTGCTAAAATCTGATGGTAGTTGGTAACTTAAATTGTGCACAAGACCTTCAAACGTACAGGGGATATTCACTATCTTGTCCTTTAGTCTAAAATGTGGATGAATGCAGAATGTTAAATCATAAAAATTGAAGCTACAGAATTTGACAAATCCACATTAAAGTATTGAACTGATGAAACATGAGATGACTTTTATTGGAGCTCTAATGTGTTTCAAAGCTCAACTATTACCACTACCGTTCATCAAAAATGCGTCTTCAAAAGTTTTTTTGACAGTGCATCAGTTTGAAATATTGCAGAGAGTAATGGAAGAGTCAGGAGCGGCCACAGTACGCTGTAAAGATGAAGAGCTGCAAGCGACAGCCTGCATAACTCCAACTTCTTAGTACGGAGACAAACTCCTCTTACTGTGTCCTGCTGCGAACTCATGCCGTATGCAGCATGAAATCAGGTCGTGGTTGCTCACAGAATGATGGGAAAAGGCCCAGTATTGAATGACCTCTGCATTAGAATGACAGTAGTTTGCTTTTGCTGTCTCCAGAAATCTGTGACCTATGGTAAAAAACTTCAGTTTCTGTTTCCACAAGTTTCTACACGCGTTGCTAAATCCACCAGGATTGAAATAGTTGAGAACAGAGTGCTGCAAGGGATTATGTTTGCAAACCTGCTCCCTCAAACCTCTGTACTGAACCTGACCCGTTAGTCCAAGTCTAAACATAACATACGAGCCACGACAAACATTATCAGCCGTAATTGATAAACACACATGCCACTTACACTGTCACTTACTTTGGAGGATTATCACCTCCTTGTCCTCCTGTTGTGGTGGTTGAGTTGTGCTCTTGGAAAAGTGTCAATTGTGGTAGCACCTGTGCTCCTACAGCTGTCAACGTGTTACCTCAGCAGCAAGATGCAGAGCTAATACAAAAGATAATACTTTATTGAGCTTAAATACTGGCTATTCTTGTCTTATTTTGATCCATTTAATAGTGACAGTTATTAGAGCAGATGTGAAGTGGTCTAAGGTGGTATCATAGGCTTTCACATTAAAATAAATCATTGCAGCTGATCAGATTTCATATAAAAAACTTACATGCAGCCTGCCCACATTTATTCAAACTTTATCCAAGTCCACACCTATGAATTTGAATTAATGCTTACTTTTTACCCAGGTAACCCATCAGGTATCCAACCCAGTGCATGACTGTCTGACATTTACACTTTAAAATGGCTTTATATCCTATTTTTAACACTGGGTATGAGTAAGTATGAGTATACCCTGTGGATTACCAGCATGGTTGGAGTGCACATCAAATTAATCACATAAATTGATCAGACAGACCATAACCTGACCACTGGACACTTGAAAAGAAAGCAGCCATTGTTAATATTTTAGCAACACCTGTGGTTTTCTTACAACAATGTTCTGTGAAGAAGGCTTATAGGGGCCCAGCAGATCAATTTTGCCCTGAGGGCCCCCTGCTGCCTAATCCGGCCCTGCCCCCAGTGTTGTTCACACTTCTAAAGAACTGTCTTTCTTCAGAACAATATATATCCATGGCAATGGAAACGCAAAAACAATAACATAACCACTGCATTCACAACTATACAAAAAGCTACAAGGATAGATAGATAGATCAGTTGGTTGGTTGGTTGGTTGGTAGGTAGATAGGCATGTATCTACCTGATAGTACATAAAACATTACCTAAAACCAAACGTACTGCACATAGGTAAAAGTTTCTATAAATGATGTACAAATATTATTTAGGACATTATTTATATTTTTGCTTAACTCACCCCTTTCAAACTACTTAATTGATAGACAAATAGATAGATAGATGGTAGTTGGTAGTTAGGTAGTAGGTAGGTAGGTAGGTAAGAAGGTAAGCAGATAGAAGGTAGTTAGGTAGGAAGGTAGGTATGGAGTTAGTAGGTAGGTGGGTAGGTAGGTAAGAGGGTAAGCAGGTAGTTGGTAGTTAGGTAGGAAGGTAGGTAGGGAGTGAGAAGGTGAAGGGAGGGAGGCAGCTAGGTAGTTAGTAGGTAGGCAGGTAGTTAGGTAGGAAGGTAGGTAGTTAGCAAGTAGGATGGTAGTTAGGCAGGTAGATTGCTGTAAAGGTAACCTAAAACCAAACCAAAGCATTGGTAAAAGTGTTTTCTGTGGAGGCTGTGCTTAAGGATTTGATATAATAACTAAAGGAATAAAACACATGTGTTATGTTTATGTTGACCCCCCCCCTCCTCAGACTAATGGAGTGAACCTGGCCGCCCTACCCCCTGGGCTCTGCCCCCCCTCTCAGTGGAACCATCCGCCGTTGCCAGGGTTTCCGTGTACGCGCTGCCTGCGCGAGCTGAGCCGCGCGAGCGTCGTACAGTAGTGTCAGACATGGCGGCGGAGCTGCAGCCCGAGTGGATCTCCTGTCTCCCTTCTTCTTGGAGTTACGGGGTTTCTCGGGATGGACGCGTCTTCTTCGTCAAGTAAATATCAGCCCCCCCCCACCGAAGGCTCCGGCTCGAGTCAGGTCTTCCCCGTTTCTGATTGAAAGCAACTCTGCGTGTGTGGTAACATTTCCTCTTCTCTCCACAGCGAAGAAGCCAAGAGTACAACCTGGCTGCATCCAGTGTGCGGCGAGGCGGTGATAACCGGCCACCGCAAAACTCCAGGTGAGGTGTCAGCTAACAAGCCGTCAAGTTTCTCCGTCGTCTCCATTATGTCGTCATGTGTTGCTGCTGTTGTTATTACCCGCATCCTGAAAGCGAGACTTCCCACACTGAGAGAGAGAGAGCGGGAGAGAGAGCACTGACATCCACGCTGGGGGTTCTAACGCACGAGTGGGCTTTTGGCGCTGTTTAACTAAGTGAGCCCTGTCATGCCCCCCCCCCCTCTGCCCGGCTCCTGAGCCCCTCTCCTCGGTCAGAGAAGTCTCAGACTCACCGATGGTTGACGACTTTTACCGACAGAATTCATTAGACAAGTATTGTTGTCAAACAAGTGTCAGACAAGTGTTTTATTTATCACGTTATCTGCAGGTAGACGCAGCTGCTGTACACTGGGGGTTCCAGTAAAGCTATACATCTAATAAATTAGTTTTCCTCTGCCCCTCCTCCACAAAAAGCTCCTGAACACTGTGCCAAGTGGTAATATTAGCTTCTTTCATTGTATTGGCATTGTGACTGTATACCATGCCACTGTACACAGCAGCAGCCTGGGGTCCCTGCTGAAAATGCATCTCAACGGGACTATGACTAGTAGACTTTAAATAAATGATCACAATGCAGATTAAACTTTAATCATTTCTTTTTGGTATATAAAATGTCATCAAATCTTTATTTCCAACCTTAACCATCATGATTTCCAAGATTAGTTAAAGTTAGGGTTGGTCATTTTTTCTGAAACACTCTTTATCTTATTTGTTGAGATCCTCTTCATGTCCCGATAGCCCTCGGAATGTATTATAAAATGCATTACAATATACTACAATGCAGTTATAAGATAAGAAGGCTCTAAAATGCCATGTGAACTATTTTATTTACATTATCATTACACTTTAATTGTGTAATTGCACTCACAGTCAACACAACTAAACAGCTCTTTTAGGATGTTTTATTGTGTTATTAGTTTAGGGGATGTTTGTCTGTGCCTGTCTGTATTTTGGTCTTCTTTTAGTTGCCCTAAACCAAGTTGAATTCAGGATTCATAAAGCTATACTGTATTGTATTGCATGACCAGAGTCCTCAGCCGTGCAGACATACACCACTGAAGCAGAGACCTGAAGTTAGCGAGCGAATCAACTGCTTCTAGCAGATGTTAATGGGCTTTGGGTTCATGTCTTTTGGAGGCGTAGCTGTGACGACAGGGCGGAGGGGATGTATCATTTGCGTCTTTTCAAAGTGTAGCCTGCTCTTGCTATCTTTTCCAGGATTACCTTTAATGGACAGGAAATTTTCAGCAACCATTTTGCCCCTTTAAATATGTTTTTTTCCCCAAGCAAAATTGCCCAATGTTCACTGGTTACAGCTTCTCTGAGGATTTTTTGCTTTTATTTGTCATATAATGAAAACTGAAATAGTTTGGGGATTTGTGGTCGCTGGTCAGACAAAACAACACAATTTGAAAGCTTCACACTGAGCTTTAGGGAAGTGTGATGAGGATGTCAATGATTTACAATTTTCTGACATTTTATAGACCAAATAAGTAACCAACGGATTAGGAAAAGGTCAACAGATTAATCGATCATTGAAATAATAATTAGTTGCACCCTAAAAGTGGAGTCCACAAATTGCTTAATTTGTCACAGTCAAAATCCTCTAGGTAGTTTAGTAACATTTTGAGTGTTGTGTCATCTACTATTATAATAAAAAGCATATATTTGTTGTTGTTCACAACTTTTAATCCTCCTCTTGTTTTTTGACAGATCTACCCACTGGGTGGGAAGAAGGATATACTTTTGAGGGTGCACGGTGCTTTATCAAGTGAGTCAAACGCCCTCATGACACCTCAACAAACACACACACACACACACACACACAGACACAAACAGCATAACCTCAGGACATGCGTACAATATCTAAATATGCAGTATGAATTAAAAGCACTTTCACCTTGTAACCGTTGAGCCTTACTTACCTCCACCAAGGATGTTTTTTCCCCTCTGTTTGCTGGTTTCTAAGGTAGATAACAACCAAGCAGAATTTCATGAAACTTGGTGGAAAGATGTGTCATGGGTCAGAGAAGAACACATTGAATTTTGGTGCAGATCCAGATCAGGTTATGAATCCAGGACGCTTTTTAAATCTTTATGTAAATTGCTTGATACGGCGTTTTTCAACATTTTCACAGATTTCCAAGGGAATCATTTATGGATCGTGATGGAAAAAAGTCAGGGGTGTGAAGGGGACTACTCTCTATGAATCAGTGAAGTTTGGTGCACCTTGGTTAAATTTAAGGGAACTGTTGGGCCTTGGTGCAGGTATGCGTTCTACTAAGTGCCATTCTAGTTGTTAAGAGGAAGTTTTTTATTTCCGATTTTATTCACCTTAAATGGAAGAAAAGCTCATTCAAGCACAAGCTGCTCCTGTGAGCAAGCTGTGTATCAGAGTTAAATATTGCATGGCTGTAGATATTGGAACCTTTACTCCCTATTGCTGTACTGTAGAGGCCTGTTGCAAAAGTTAATGATTACACAGGAACATTGTGCAAATACTAGACAGTCGTGGGCAAAGTGTGGTCGCTGTCTTCTTGCGAGCTGTTTTTATTTATTCAGACTTACCATGCTCAAAGCTGAGCCTGCTTGGGGAGTTGAGCCAAAGTATAATGTGCGCTCTATTTTCTGACAGTTATCCTCACGGTTGGAGTTTACACGGTCTGTTCACAGTTTGAAATAACACTTGTCATTAAGTAGATGCTGGAAAATGTGTCTAAGGTACATGCCAGCTGCTGTATTGCAGGAATTTGAAAAGACGTCTTATTTAAAGTCTCCTTAAACTGATTTCAGTTTGAACGTAATATTGACAGTATGCTCATTTGTTGAATCTGTGTGGGCAGGAGAAAATGTGATATAGTTTGTGCCCCTCTCCGTTTGAAGACCATGCAGGATCTACACAAATTACAATAGTAGTTGGGTGTGTTACATAGTCTTTGAACTACAGCGTATTTCACATTTTCTTCTCTTCCTTTGGCAGCCTGATACATGTGACTACTCAGCAGAGATCATAAGCTCTGTCACTCAGTTTGCTCTGATCCTTAATCTGTCCTCAGAATGTTTCAAATCCAAGGATAGTTTACTTTTTTTTTTTTAATTTCATTTTGCATGTCTTAATGAAACACTCCTGTCACACAGCAGGTATAGATATTGTGCAGATGATTTTCCTTTTGAAATAATTGCAATAACACTGGCTGCAAATTGAGGATATTATTATATCTTGCTCTCACTGATCCATCTCCCCTTCTTTTACTTCCTCACAAATTTGAGGAGCTTTATGTGGCAGGTTGCCAGACAGTCCAACTGAGAGTCAGTGATTTTATATTCCAGCACTTCCAGGCCCTTCATTACAGGACTTGTGGATGACATTCATTAGTTGATCTTGTTGATTCAGTCCAGTGACAGCAAACGCCTCACAAACTAATCATGTTGTCCACAAGTGAGCAGAATACATTTGAACAATTTATAAGATAAGTTTAAAACAATATTGAAGTCATGTGAAGCAAAGCAAGCAAAACAGCCCCTGAGTATCTCCATGTTTAGCTCTACCACTTGAAAACAAAAAATGTATTAAATTGTGTGATTATAAAAACACTACAAGTAGCTCCTTCTCTTTCTTGCCTATAGAACATACTAGCCATCATACGGCTGCCTGCTTTAATAAGAGCTGGTTCAGAGAATAAGCCTAAATGTGACCAATGCTGCCAAGGGCTGCCTTCTGTGGACTGCTTCCGTAAGACACATTTTCACAGCCTGTTTACTTTGACCGAGCCAGGAGGTTTCCCTTTGTTTCTTTACTTAGAATTCCAGTTGTAACTTGTGGTTGTTCTTACAACTCTGTGTTTGTGTGTGTGTGTGTGTGTGTGTGTCATGAAGCTGGCTGCATCCACCGATAAACAATTATGGTCGATTCAATGCACAAGATCAATTTTTCAGTTTCTAGTGATGTGACTTAGAAGTACTTAAGCCTTGAGTAATTGGGCATTGTAAAACCATGCCTGTTAATTTAATTTTGACTCTGTTTTTATATAGAGAGATGTTGACATGTTTATGTTATAACTATCTTGGACAGTTATTAAGTAGTAAATTTTGAGGCTGCCAAATATAAGCATCTGAAAACTGTTCAAAACCATTATAGCATGATGACAGTTGGATACGACTGTGTTGTGTGTTTTACACTAAGTTATCATTACTTAATCAATTAAGTGTTGCTAAGTTTAGGTCATATTTTCACATTTTTAATTTACATAAGCAGGAAAAACAACAGCGCCCTTCTCTTGTTCTCCGACTCACAAAACAGGGACTGGATCTAGATTCATTTCTGTGACTCCAGTTCTTTTTTTGCCTGTGAAAGGATCTGGCCCATTCACATGCTGGCAGTGTAGCTGAGCGGTTACCATCGGGTTACGCAGTGTGAGCATCAGTGAGCAGATTGTGCTGACGTTGCACTGTTCTATGATCGTATGTGTTGGGGAGGATGGGCTGCAGGTCGCTTGTGTCATCATGAGGCAGGGGCCGTCACAGGATTGAATTTTTTTATGGCAGCGTGAATTTTGAATGAGTGACGCTCAGTGCGGATGTTAATTCAATCAGTCATGTGCTGCTTTCCTCAGACTGAACCGTCCTTTTTTTGAGTTTCTGGCTTTTTTGCAGTTGGCTCTGTGCCAAGTGGCCTGGTACTTTGGTGAACTAGGTGGCAACTGGTCAGTAGGTGCTCCCCCACTAAACAGAGTGAGAGCATGAGGTGTAAATCTGCAAACTATTAGCTTGTAAATTTAATCCACAGGCTGACGTGTAAGTAAATTCAGTTTGTGATGACAACATTTCTTATCAACATTTTGTTAAATAGACGATATGTCTTCAGTTGGTCTTCCTCTATTGTTTTTTTATGTCACCTTATCAGTTGTCCAGATGATACTTTTGATCGTGACATTACAATGCCACACATTTGCATAATACTTGCCTAGCAGCTAGTCTGGTACACCTGCTGACGAAGCCAGGTAAAGCAAGAGCAGAGGCGGACATTTACTATTCACTGTGGAAGTGGTTGACCAATCAACAGAGTTGGCCAGTTAGCCAATCAGAGCAGGGGGGCTTAAAGAAACGGGAGAGAAAGAAACAAGCATTTCCGACAGATGCTGAAAAGAGGAGGTGCAGCAATGACAGTTTGTGGAAAGAAATGTTTTTTTTTTGTTTCATACACACAATCAATCAATCTGCTGTCAATAGCACCCATCCATTAGTCCTAATACATTCACATTTCAAGCCAGTCACTTTTGTTCATGGTTTCAACTGCTGAACTTGGCGATAAATCAGAGAACACTTAACGGCATCCAGCTATTTTCCCGCTTTGGTTCTTCAGGAGCTAAAACAATAATCCACACATCAGAGTAATGGGTATTTTGTACTTTAGATTAACCTGACTGTTACTCTGTACCCTGATTTATGGTTGAGAGGTGGGAGCTGGGAAGATGTATCTGTTATTGATCTTTAGTGAGTGCGCTCTGATGCTGATGATAACATGAAGGCACTTTGCAACCTGCTACATGGATGAACCATTCTACATTCTACACACCACCCAGAGTACGGTATCTCTCAGTTTAGTTTTTGTTTGTGGCATTAACATTGTTTTGATGAGACTTTGCCATCTGGCTGGATTGTGTTTTCCATTTTTTCCCTGGAGCACATGATCCTACATTTTAGCTTCAGAACAAGATGCAGGGTCTTCAAGAAGACATATGGTTCTCTAATATGTCTTAGAGTGGACATATTGTGCAGAAAACCCAAAGTCTGCAGCTCCTCTCCTCCACAAAAACACTGCTCCTAAAGCTCCTGAATTGCCTTGTCGATAGCCCGGCTGATACTTCTGCATTATTGTGATGTAATGTGGTATCACAATTCCCCATATTTGCATAATGCACACCCAGCAGATTGTCTGGCATGCCCCCTAACAAAGCCAGGTAGGGCGAAAGTGTCGCCCAAAATGTCATACTTGTGCTACAAGTGTTTGACCAATCACAAGAGAGTGGGCAAGCTGACCATTCAGAGTGGCCTGGGATTCTATCAAAAGGGGGGCTTTAAAGAGACCAAGCCTTTCAGACAGAGGCTGAAAAGAGAAATATAAAGAAAAAGAAAATACCAGAGCATAATATGTCTCCTTAAATATTATGGTGGAAGAGGGATGAGCCTAATTGTAAGTTGGATGTAGGAAGTGTTCATAGATGATTGTGTGTCCCTCTGTTTGTCTGCTATGTCTCAATAATTCTGTCTGGGAAAGGAGGGAAAAGCCACACTGCAGAAGTCAAGGCTAATTGCTGTAGGTTGCAAAATGAGATGGTTGACCTGTTGTTAAGTACAGTAGGGGACTCACACAGTTAACCCTCACAGTGCCAGAGGCCAAAAGTCTGGCTTGATTACCATTTACTTATTAATATATAATTTGATGACATTTGATCGTCCATTGAGGGCAATTTTCTGCTTTCAAGTGCTCATCATTACAAAGTGCAACATAAAATATGAATATTGTGCTAGTGTGCTCTGCAACCGCAGCTTTCATTTTGCTGTTCACTTCTACTGCATATTTCATCACTCAGAACAGAGGAAAGAATGTCAAATTATATTTGGCCAATTATGACAAAACTCTCTAGTGGATCTCTATTTAGTTGTTCATTTATTTTTTTACTTTGAAGGCCCACACAGTGTCTTGTATTTAAAAGTAAGAACATCGTGTCACTCATGTGGATCAATAATCAATTGCGGTAATTGTCACTC